TTTTTTTTTTTTTTTTTGCAATAGAATGTGTGTACTTTATTAACATAGTATATCCATGAAATTCTGTATGCAATAAACTTCTTATATATTTATATCATCTGATATGGACTAATAAACTTCTTATATATTTGTATATTTTTAAATACAATTACAATAAAAGAATTTCAGATGAAGAAATTTTTAATGTTCAAAAAAAAAGTTGGAAATAATAATACTATTTTAAATTGTGTTATTTTCAATTTTATATTTGGAGCCTAATAATAAAGCTATGTAGAAAAATAATGGCTTAATAACAGTATATTAAATGCTTCCAAAATGGGTTAAGAAGTGAGAACCCTTCCAAATAATTGTACCTTTTATTTTCCTCTTATTTTCATATACAAATGCTTAGTAACAGTAAATTTGTATCACCACTATACATTCATTGATTCATCTTCAGCAATTGGAAAGCAAAAAATTGTTTTTAATTTGTGTATTTAAGTACCTTTTTTTTAAAAAAAATAAATAAATTATAATTTGTGTTTGAACATTCTAAAAATTTGTAGTGTGTTTGGTTTCAAGTTACAACTCTAAATAAATTAATTGACTTTTTTTTTTCAGAAATTATTTTTCACCTGTCTAAATCAACCACTGAACAGTTGTACAATTGGCCTAAATTTGCTAAAAAAAAAAATAAAAGAAACTGTCTGTACCATTGCATGGTATTGGTCCTATTTCTCCCCAACCATTTTCAATAAAAACAGCAGACTAAATTCAGATATGATACAAATTTTGTCTAATTATGTAAATCTTAAAAAAAAAATACATTTTTTTCGAGCGAGGCGATCTCGGGTGCTCGAACTCGAGTTTGAATAAACACGTTTCAAGCTTGAGTACCTTGAACGTGAGCCAAACTCAAGCTTGTATGTTATAAGCTCGAGTGCTCGACAGACCGCTCACGTATAATTGATCTAAATACCCCTAACTCTTGCTAAACTCAAGAAATAATCTTTTTGTTTTTTTTTTGTGGAATGATAGACTTTTCATAGAAAAAACACATAATTACACACTAGAGAGGCTAGACAGTCGTATAAGCCAACTATTCAGCTGACTTAAACACATAATCTTATTCGAATAGATTTTTTTTTTTTTTTTTGGTTAAATCCAAGCCGACTTTGAGTTGATGAAATTCGTACCAATCTCAAGCATTTGTATATTATTGCCAATTCAGGAAATCAAGTCTTGACTCAATAAGGTCAATGCTCGATTTGGCTTGATTTGTTTGCAGCCCTAACCGCACTTAAGAACATAAATTAAAAAAAAAAAAAAAAAAAAAAAAAAAAAAAAAAAAAGAATCTCAAAGCTTCAAATCATGTTGACCAACAGTTATGTTTAGAGTTGAGAATCTTGTTGATATCCTAAATTCCAGGTATAATGATAACTTATGCAAAATACTAAAATAAATTCAGGCACTATAGATTCTTTTAGTCACTTATTAGACCCAAAAAACCAAGGAAGATAATAAATCCTACAAAACTGCTGTTTTGATTTGAGTCCCCACTTGAGGACAGTATGGTCCTTTCACCTAGACACCTAACAAACAATTTCAATAAATTCAAATAAATAGAAGGGTAAATAATAATTTGCAACCTGTACTATACGCGAATTTGGAGTTTGCAACCTAAAGAATTTTTTGTACTAAATTGCAACCTTTAATACACTATATCGCAACCTCGGGCCATCAGCGGCCCATTTTCCACAAAAAACCGAGCGTGTGTAACACGCGCACCAAATTTAAGGTCAAAAATGTCTTTTATATCTCTTTCTCCTCCTTTCATCCTCTTTCTTTCACAGCGGCAAGCTTGTTTTGCAAAAATTATTTTCCACCAACGACGGTCCTTAGACGACGACGCGGACGATTCTCCCAGGCGGCGCGCCGAGCGTCGCGGCGGCGATGTGCTTGAACGCGAGGGCGAGGAGTGAAGGTCCGGCCAGGACGGCGACGTTTTCGCCGTAGACCACGTGGCTAGAGGGCTTCCCTCGCCGTAGATCGTCGTTGTCCATGCTGGGCAGGTCGTCGTGGATCAGGGACATGGCGTGGTTCATCTCGAGAGCGCAGGCCGTGGGCATTGCCGCCGACTCATCACCGCCGACGAGGTGGCAGGCGGCATGGCAAACGATCGGGCAGATGCGTTTGCCGCCGGAGAGCAGGGAGTATGGCTTCAGGATCTTGATGGGGTTTCTAATGGGGACTGCGGAATCTAAGACCCGGTTTACTATTCTGATCTTTTGGAGCGTATATGATTTGAAATCGAATTGGTTTTTAGGGTTTGTTGATTCTTGGGTTTCTTTGTTTGGGGCATTTTCTACCTCTTGGTGATGGGTGAAGAGACGATTTCCAGTGGTTTGAGATGGAATTGATTTGAAATTTTGATTTGAATGATGAAGAAAGATGGAAGAAGAAGCAGATCTGGATATGGTTCGAGTCTTGTACAGAAAATTACTACAGATACTTGCACTCATCTGGATTTGGATTAATACCATAGTTGATGATTTTGTTGTTAAAAGGGAACTTTTTTGTCTTCTTAATCTCAAGATTCAACACATATTGAGTGAAGGCATTTTCTCTGTGTCTGCCAATGCTGTGAAATCCTCTAGGTTGAAAGAGGATGATAACACGAGGAAGAGGATGAAAGAGGGAGGAGAAAGAGATATCAAAATATATTTTTGACCTTAAATTTGGAGCGCGTGTTACACACGCTCGGTTTTTTGTGGAAAATGGGCCGCTGATGGCCCGAGGTTGCGATATAGTGTATTAAAGGTTGCAATTTAGTACAAAAAATTCTTTAGGTTGCAAACTCCAAATTCGCGTATAGTACAGGTTGCAAATTATTATTTACCCTAAATAGAAATATGCAAAACAAGTTAAGAAGCACAGAGTCCATTGCCAGCCTGTTTGTTCCTACATTGATAAACCTTTCTCAATTCATGAATTTTCTCCTTTCAGCAAAACAACCAAATGCTTGGGACAAAACCCATCCTCCTTATCCCTCATTATTTAACGAAAGATGCTACAGTCTCGTTACGGAACCATTCTGTCGGGGTTTGTAACCGTTAGATCATCATGTAACCGTCAGGGATAGTTGATCTAACGGTTACAAACCCCGACGGAATGGTTCTGTAATCGTAGCATTTTCCTTATTTAACATACCTAGGCATAAATAAGCAAATTCTTATATGTAACACTCAAAGAAAAGTTTTAAGGTATTAAGAACAAGAAAGAGTCTAAATGGAGTCTGTTCAGTCATCATCTGGTGAGCACAACAAAAGGCAAGAAGAAGATGAAGAAAAGAAAATTCGAAGATGAATTAATGTGACTCAAGACTTATTTTTTTTTCTTTCTTTCAATAATATGTCCTCCAATACTCAACCTCCATTCCTAATCAAAAGGGCCCGAGATAGATAACGTTCGAGTTTTACCAAAAGATATCCGGTCCATCACATGCGAATGGCCAGAAAAATCACAGCAATATTGCACCAAATTATGCTACAAATCATTGCAACATAGCAAATAAAATCACCGAGTACCACCGCCAATATCATATAAACTAAATGAACTGAAAAGACAAAAAAAAAAAAAAAAAAGTGCGAGCTCGATTTAACCGGGAGTTCGATTAGGCATGCCAGCCGGATTCGCTGCTCAATGGGGCAAGCCTCATGTGCTGATCATGTGCTCTGCTCCTCTTGAACACGGGCTCGGGAGACGGTGACATGGATGATCCTATGGCCCACGAGTCGACTGAGCTATCCGAGCTGAAATAGGCATCAATCACGCCACTCGGGCTGCAGGGCATCGAACTGTGCTTACGCTTGATGCACAATCTACCCCTAGGATTATCGTCTGAAGCCTCCATGATGAGCTTGCAGCAATCGTCGATCTTATCCTGGCACGGTTCACGATTTCCAAGAATGTGAGTTCACCTAATTTTTTCACTCATTTTTCTTATGGGATTTAACAAAAATTAAACAAAAATCCAACCTTGCTAGTTTCCAGCAAGTTTGCGATTCGGCCCTCGAAGTCTAGATAATCATCATCGTTTTCAATCTCTCGAATCACATGAATCATTGTGGCACAAGCAATGGTAGAAGGTGCATAATGGCCCAACCTACAATCTACATTATTTTGATAAATATCAGTGAAAACAACACACAAAAAAAAACACGAATGGCATCGAGAATCAAATCGACAACATATCATCCAAACCGAAACCATACCAGTGATGATTGAGAGGATCACACCCTCACAAGTCCTCAAGAACTCCCAATGCAGATTCTTTATCAGCCCAAATCTCCTCGCAATGTGGTCGAAATAGGACATTGGTGTCACAGGGTTCATTTTCCACTTAAGTGTCGACAAAACAAGAAGCTCCATTCTCTGAATGGTCTTTGCTTCAAACAAGTACTTAGACTCCTCCACCTAAAAAAATAAACCACCCGAGCAAAAAAAGTTACAACAAAACCCAAATCAATGCATCAAACAGACACTTTTGAACTACATTTGCACCACATTGCCCAAAACAAAAAAAATAATAATAATAATCAAACATTAAAATGAGAAACAAACGAAACAAAAAACTTACTTGTAGGTCTAGCAAGAGAGGAACTTGAGTTTCGTCCATCTTAGCAGCAATCGAAAGGCAAGCAACGGCGGCCAATTGACCCATCCAAGGTTTGTCCCGCTGGAAACAAATGCTCGCAATAAATCTATCGAAATAATCGACGGCTAAAACAGCGGTCAACGCGCCGAAGCCGTAGTGCCCGACAACCTTGAGCATCCACTTAACGGCCTCGTCTCTCGACGTTTTCAGACACCCATCTGATTTTATTGCATCGTGAAACAGACGAAGCTGTTTCTTCTCCTCCGACAGGAGACAGGCGAGCTCGTCGTCTTCCCAGAAAAGGTCATGCTCGAAGAGGGCAAACGGGGTTTTTTGAATCTGATCTAAATCGTTGGTTTGTGGGTCTTTCGAAACGAACCCATCGTCATCAAAACGCTCCTCCTCCTCGCAGTAGAGGGCGGCGTCAAAGATTGGGTTTGGGAGATGAGGGAACATTTTCTTCATCTTCTTCTTGCGAGAAGAAGGTGAAAGGGCCTCTGCTCATTATCTTTAGGAGAAAAGATTGAATCTTGGGCTCTGTATCATATCGTTATTGAGATTTCTGGGTTTCCTTTTTCTTTTTTTTTTTTTTGATTTTGTCCTTGAGGGACTGAAAAGAAGAGTGGAGAGAGTGAGGAAGAGAAAATAGGAAGGGGTTTTTAACTGAGGGGTCTTTCACGCCTGTCCTCTTTTTTTGTTCCTTTCTTGATTTTTTAAAAAACTTTAATTTTTGTCAATTTTACTTTTTTTTTTTATTATTATTATTATTATTATTCTTTCTCCCTCTCTTGTGTGAGGATTTAGCCATGGAGAATGGTATCTATTATTAAACACATACTAGTATTTGTTGTAAATTGGAATCTTCAATATTCACCAAGCACCATCAACCAAGCATAAAAGATGTGCAGTAAAGAGAACGAGAAAAGAAGCAGAAAAGTGTGTAATCTTATTCATCGGTATAATTACCCTTTTTATAGAGTTTACAATAGAGAAACTCTAAAATCTAAGTTTCCTAACTAACGGACTTCAGGCCCATTTATCTATTAGTAATATCCATATTAATATATTTATAACACTCCTCATTGGACATTACTACATGACTCATTAAAAACCTTGCTAATAAAAACCCAACATGGGAAAAAAAATTAGTCAAGGAAAAAAGAGTACATGATTTATAAAAATTCATGTGTTTTACTAGTTGTCTCGTTAAAAACCTTTAACTAATAAACTCATTGGGAAAAACTTAGTTAAAGGAAAAAAGAATACAGCATTTGGTCTTCAGGACCTAATATTCGGGATTATTTTGAGTTTTTTCATTCACCTGAAGACAATAGTCTTCCCAGTTTACGCATACCAATACCATAAATGTATTTTTCAAAAGTAGATGTGGGAAGGGATTTGGTGAATAGGTCTGCCAAGTTCTCGCTAGACCTTACTTTTCGTACAATAATCTCACCGCTCTTCTGGAGCTCGTGTGGGTAAAAGAATATTGGAGCAATGTGTTTTGTCATGCTTCCTTTGACATACCCACTACTCATTTGTAAAACACAAGCTGCATTGTCCTCATAAAGGACAGTGGGGGGTTATATCATTTGTAATTCCACATGATCCATGAATATGTTGGATTAAAGATCTTAACCATACACATTCGCGTGAAGTCTCGTATAAAGCAATTATATCTGAATGGTTTGAAGATGTAGTAACCATGGACTGCTTGACCGATTACCAAGAGATTGCAGTACCACCACAAAGAAAAACATAACCAGTCTGTGATCTAGCATTATGGGGATCAGACATATAACCAGCATCCGAATAGCCACCAATGTCGTATCTTGATTTTTCTTATAAAGTAAATCAAGATCTTGTGAACCTTGAAGATACCTAAAAATATGTTCAACACCATTCCAGTGTCTCCTCGTAGGAGAAGCACTAAACCTTGCTAGCAAGTTTACTGCAAATGCAATATCAGGCCTGGTGCAATTTGCAAGATAAAGTAATGGGCCAATGGCGCTCAAGTAAGGAACTTCTGGTCCTAAATTTTCTTCGGTATCTCCTTTAGGTCTAAATGGGTCCTTATCCGCTTCAAGGGACCGGACAACCATTGGTGTGCTAAGTGGATGAGATTTATCCATGTAGAATTTTTCTAAAACCTTCTTCAAGTAGGTTGACTGGTGTACAAATATTCCTTCAGGGAGATGCTCGATCTGCAAGCCGAGACAATATTTGGTTTTACCCAAATCTTTCATTTCAAACTCCGTCTTTAGGCATGAGCTAGCTTTATCAAGCTCCTCTCGTGTGCCAATTATATTGATGTCATCGACATAAACTGAAATGATACAAAAGCCATTCGTTGACTTCTTTATAAACACACAAGGGCACACATCGTTATTCACAAAATTATTTTTCAACAAAAACTCACTCAGCCGGTTGTACCACATTCTACCCGACTGCTTTAAGCCATATAATGACTTTTTTAATTTAATGTTATACATGTTGCGCGTTTCATTTTCCCTTATTTCGGAAACCTTTAATCCTTCAGGGATTTTCATATATATATATATATATATATATATATATATATATTTATTTATTTATTTGTGTCTAATGACCCTATAAATATGCGGTCACGACATCCATTAATTGTACATCTAAATTCATAGTTACTGCCAGAGATATCAAATAGCGGAACGTTATTCCATCCATTACAGGAGAATATGTTTGATTAAAATCAATACCGGGTCTCTGCGAAAACCCTTGAGCCACTAATCTCGCTTCGTATCTCACCACATCATTATTTTCATTTCTCTTTCGCACGAACACCCATTTATATCCTACTGGAATAACATTTTGAGGTGTGCGCGCGATAGAGCCAAAAACTTTTCGTTTATTTAGCGAGTCTAGTTCAGCCTCAATTGCCTCTTTCCATCTTACCCAATTAGAGCGCTTCCGGCACTCTGCGATTGATTTAGGTTCTGGATCCAGATTATTAGAGACGGTAAAGGCAACAATAGAGGCAAATGTGTCGTCGACGACTATGTTACTTTTATTATAAGTTTCTCCTGTATCAACAAAATTCGTAGCTACTTCGATATTTACTTCAACCAGATCTTCATCATTCCGATTATATTTTGATCTGGATGTTCCACAATCCTAGTATTTTTATTATTTGTTGCACGTGCATTTAAACTAGGATTTTCGCCTTCTGGATGATTTTCTTCTGGAGATTTCGGGAGTGATTCAATATTTTTATTTGATTTCGTTTTCTGCGGATTATTGTCTTTTGTACCAACGGGTCTACCACGCTTCTGGCGTGGAGCATCTGTAGGCATATTAGATTTCATGGGGACTTCCACTCGTTGTGGTGCATTTATAGAAGGTACATGTGATTTCGTCACTCCTTTATGATCAGTAAATGCATCTGGCAAATTATTTGCTAAATATTGCAAATTAATTATATTTTGAACTTCGAGTTCAGTTTGATTAGTGCGTGGATCTAAATATTGTAGATGTTCTACATTCCAAGAAATTTCTCGGCATTTATTTAAGTTTGGGCTTTTATCTCCCCATAATACCGGAAAATTCTCTTCATCGAATATGCAGTCAGCGTATCTAGTTGTAAATTGATCCCCAGTCATGGGCTCTAGGTATTTGAGAATAGACGGAGATTCATAGCCAATATATATACCTAGCTTTTTATGAGGGCCCATAGAGGTACGCTGTGGTGGTGATATGGGAACATAGACTGCACAACCAAATACTCGCAGATGGGAAATGTTAGGTTCTTTACCACACACTAATTGTATAGGGGAATAATCATGATATGCAGTAGGTCGGATTTGAATTAGGGCAGCAGCATGTAAAATGGCATGTCCCCAACATGATATTGGTAAGTTGGAATTTTGTAACAATGGTCTAGCAATTAATTTGATGCGCTTAATGAGTGATTCGGCTAGACCATTTTGTGTGTGGACATAAGGTACTGGATGCTCCACTTTGATGCTCAGTGACATACAGTAATCATCAAAAGCTTTCGATGTAAATTCATCGGCATTATCCATTCTAATAGTTTTAATTTGATAAACAGAAAATTGAGCTCTTAATTCAATAATTTTAGCAAGGAGCTTTGGAAAAGCCTGATTTCTAGTGGACAACAAACACACATATGTCCATCGAGTGGAAGCATCTATCAATACCATAAAATATCGAAAAGGTCCCGAAGTGGGATGAATAGGATCACATATATCACCTTGAATCCTATGAAAGGAACATAGGAGATTCAATTCCAACTTTAGTACGTGAAGGTTTTAATAGTAATTTCCCCTTTGCACAAGCATCACAAATAAATTCATTAAAACAAGGGAAATTGTTGTTGGATACAGCATGCCCAATAGAGGTAGAAATAATCCGACGCATCATATTAAGCCCAGGATGACCCAATCGCTCATGCCATAATTTAAATGAATTTGGGTCTTTAAATTTTAAGCTCAATGCAACATGATTAGTAGAAGGTCGAATGTAAGTATGGTACAAGCCTGAGGAGAAGGAGGGAAGTTCTTCTATAATTTTCTTTTGATTTCCTTGTGAATGAGTCATTAGGAGATACTCTATATTATTTTCAGTCTTAGTTTCAATATGAAAACCATTAGATCGAATATCTTTAAAACTAAGGAGTGTTCTTTGTGATTCAGGGTACAAAAGCGCATCGTTAATTATTAATTCGGTACCCTTATGAAGAGTAAGTAAAGCTCTGTCGGAGCCTACTATCAAGATTTTATCATGAGCAATTGTAGAAACACTCCCTTTCTTTTCATTTAAAGTTTGAAAAAATTTTCTATCTTTCAAAATAGTGTGCGCAGTAGCACTGTCGACCAGTCATAAAATGCCCTTTTTCTCCATAAGATGCGAACTAATGAATGGTTGTGGTACACTAAAAAAAAGTAAACATTGTAAGCAAACGAAACAATCATGAAATTCCAGTCAAATCATAACATATGAAAAACAAACCAATAGCAAAAACAAACCACAAATGTCTGACGAAACAAAAGAAATAAGAATTGTCTAACAGCATGAAACAAACCATAAAATAAAAATATTCAGTTCTATGATAAAATGCATATTAATCACACATCATCACCATAGTCCTCGAGCTCGAGCTTCAATAAATCATCATCATCATCATTGATGGCTAAATTTGCTTCAGGCAAACTAGCATGATGTGATTCACCTTGAGGAGCCTTTCATTTCTTATCCTTAAGCATTCTTTGATAGGCCTCAACTAGATGCCGAGGAGTACGACATGTGCGGGACCAATGACCACTGCATCCACACCTATAGCAAACTTGTTTATCTTGATTAGCTTGTGGAGCGTCGATGTTAGGATTTTCTTTACGACATGTCGGTTCCTCAACACCATGACCTCGTCCTTTACCTCGAGTCCAGACATGACTACGACCGCG